CCCCCCCCCCCCCCCCCCCCCCCCCCCCCCCCCCCCCCCTCACCTTGAGCAGGCGGCGCCTCTTCTCCGTCATGCTGGATTCCCGGGAGATGCTGGCGAGCGGCGGCGGGCGCGGCGGGCGGCCGGCCCTCCCGGCGCGGCTCTGGATCTTCCTCATCTCGCGCTCCACGCTGCTCTGGATGCGGCGGCTGACCTCCAGCCGCAGCTCCGCCATCATGGCGTCCAGCACCGCGCTGTCGTCCAGGTCCCAGCGCACCTTGAACTCCGACATGGCGTCCGCGTAGTGGCTCATGAACTGCTTCTCCAGCTTCCTCAGCAGGTGCAGAACCCACACCGGGTCCGGGTCCTGGGACAGGCGTTTGGACAGCGGCGCCCGCGGCAAAATGGCCGCCGCCGCCAACGGGTCGTCCGACGGAGAGTCGCCGGGCGTCTCCCGCTCGTTGTCCGTGGCGGATTTGGAGCTGGCGTTGGTGGAGCTTTTGTCGGAGGAGGAGGACGGGTTTTCAGGGGTTTTCGGGGTGTCGGGAGTTTGGGGAACTGGTTCCTCTGGTTTGGAGGCTGTGTCTTCTTCCTCTGTGGCCTTTGCAGAACCATCTTCTTCTTCTTCTTCTCCTGTACCATTTACAACTTTGTCTTTTTCTTCTTCTGTACCCGTTTCAGCCCCCTCTTCTTCTTCTTCTTCTGTACCTTTTACAACCCCCTCTTCTTCTTCTTCTTCTGTACCTTTTACAACCCCTTCTTCTTCTTCTTCTTCTGTACCATTTACAACTCCGTATTCTTCTTCTTCTACAGCCTTCCCCAGCTCCTCCTCTTCTTCTTCTTCTGTGGCTTTCGCTGGCTCCTCCTCCTCTTGTTCTTCTTCTTCTGTGGCCTTTACATCCCCCTCCTCTTCTTCTTCTTCTTCTGTGGTCTTCTCTGGCTCCTCCTCCAGCACCAGCTCAGCCTCTTTGGCCGGTGTTTCGTCTCCCCCCGGGGTCCCGTTATCTTTCCCCGATCCGCCCGATCCGCTGCTCATTCCGACGCCCGACGAAGACCTGGGGGGCGTCACCTGGTCCAGGCCTCCATCTTTAGCCTCCTTTACCTCCTTGGCCTCCTTGGCCTGCGTGACCCCGGTGAGGTCCCGGGGCTCGGTGAGCCACAGCGACTGCAGGATGGCCATGATCTCGTCGTACTGCTGCTTGCGGTCCTTGTTGTGCGGGCTGTCTCCGCCCGCCGGCTCGATGAGCTGCAGCTGGGCCAGGCAGTCCAGCAGCCCCCGCGCCGAGGTGCTCAGCCGCCGCCCGTACACCGGGGACACCTGGAGGCACAGGTGGGAAAAACATGCTTTAGTATCCTATTAGAAACACCGCAAAATGTACCTAAAACTCTCCAGCTGACTCGATTCAAACCCGTAACTTTCTGGTTTTATTATCTTAGCTCACCTCCACATTTTTACAGTTTTATTGGTAACTGTCGTATTTCTGGTTGTTTTTTGGGGGGTTTGTTTGGTTAAAGGGGTCAAATCCATCAGAAAAAGGAAAAGACGGAAGAGGAAAAAGGAGACAGACCTGCTCATTAAAAGCCGACATAAAGTAAATAAAGTAAAGATACTTCTGAATACATTTAAAGAAAATTAGAAAGTTATCTTTTGTGCATTTTTTCAGAGCCGTTTTTAATTATCCTCTTAGAAACACGGCAAAATGCACCTAAAACTCTCCAGCTGACTCGTTTCAAACCTGTAACTTTATGGTTTTATTATCTCTGCAGTTAAAGATCACAACTCCACATTTTTACAGTTTTCTTGGTGACTTTATTATGATTATATTATTATATTATTTACATAATTATTATGTTTAAGCTGACTTTGAGCTCATGTAAACCTGTTAACCGTCGTGTTTCTGGTTGTTTTTTAGGAGGCTTGTTTGGTTAAAGTGGACAAATCCATCAGAAAAAGGAAAAGACGGAAGAGGAAGAAGGAGACAGACCTACTCATTACAGTCTGGATTGTCTTAAGCGTGGTAAAGGCACTGACAAAATGTACCTAAAACTCTCCAGTTGACTCGTTTCAAACCTGTAACTTTATGGTTTTATTATCTCTACAGTTAAAGAACACAACTCCACATTTTTTTTAGTTTTCTTGGTAACTTTATTACGATGCTGCAGCCTTCCTGCTGTATCTTTCCTGTAAGGTGTCTGTTTAAGCTGACTTTGAGCTCATGTAAACCTGTTAACCGTCGTGTTTCTGGTTGTTTTTGGGGAGGTTTGTTTGGTCAAAGGGGTCAAATCCAGCAGAAAAAGGAAAAGACGGAAGATGAAAAAGGAGACAGACCTGCTTATTAAAAGTTACTAACTGATACTTCTGAATACATTTAGAGAAGATTAGAAAGTTATCTTTTGTGCATTTTTTTCCGAGCTGTGTCTAAACCAAAAAGTGGATACCCCATGTTTGAATGCATGTTTTCAGGGGGGCTCACCTCGGGGACGCTCCGGCACCGGCCCAGGGAGGAGCTCAGCAGCACCTTCATCACGGCGGCGGAGCAGTGCCAGTTCTTGGACAGAGACGATCCGGTCGCGTCCCCCAGAACCGGACGTGAGCTCCTCTTCTCCTCCGCCTCCTCACATTTAGCCTCCTCCTCTTTCCCCACCTCCTCCCCTAACCCATTCTCCCCATTCTCCTCCTCCCGGTCCACTTTCTCCTCCTCTGGGGGCTCCTCCTCCTTGGTTATCTCCTCCTCCTCCTCCTCTTTGGGCTCCTCCTCCTCGTTGGGCTCTCCTCCCAGATCCAGCATGCTGCTATCGGTCGGGATGCTCCTAAGCCAGTCGCTGACCACCTCGCTGGGGGAGGCGTTGGGCAAACAGGCCGGGGTCAGCTCCATCTCCATTTCCAGCTCTGGCTCCGCATCCTGGTCCTTCTGGGCCCGGCTCCGATTGGACCCTCCACTCTTCTGGCTGCCTCTGGACTGCTGTTTTGCGGCCGCCAGGCTCTCCTTCAGCAGGTCGGCGGCGGACAGCGAGTGGGAAAGCGTGCTCTCGCTCACCGCCTCCGCTTTGGGAGTGGAGGATTTGTCGGAGGCTTCTTTTCTCCTCAACGCTTTGACGCTGCCTTCCACACTTCCTCTTCCTCCTTCCCCGTTGGCCGAATCCTTCTTCTCCTTCTTCGTCTTTGACTGAGTGGAGGCGGCCGACTCTGGCCGGAGGCAGCAGTGGACGCTCTGGGCCTCTTTGTGTGTGATCTGCTCCCTTTCTCTGTCCCTTTTCCCGGCGTCACTACGTTCGGAAACACTGGCTCCCGCGGGGGATTTGCTCCGAGCCGTGGGACCTCCTGACAGGGCAGAGGAGCTCCTCTGGTTCTGGGTGTCAGCTTTAGCTGTGGAGGCGGACTTCAGGCTCTCTGTTTCGGCTTCTGTCTTCCTCTCGGGGGGCTTCTGGGCTCCGGCTTTGGAGCCACAGCTGCAGCTGGACTTGTGAGACCTGCTGCTTTTGGCTGTCATGGCGCTGGCCGCCCTCTCCGAGCTTTGCTTCCCTCCTCCTTCCTCGCCTCCTTTGGGCGTTTCAATAGTGGGAATATCGACCGCTGGAGGGTTCTGAGAGCGGGAGCTTTTCCTGCCGGTGGCGTTGGACTTCTGAGACAAAGCCGACGGAGCTCTGTCCCCAGAGGACTCGGCGGGGGTTTTGGAGACCGGATCCTCTCCGGCTCCGCCCTTCTCCTCGGCCTGGTTGCTAACGGAGACGCGGGACTTCCCGCTGTCTGACTCGGCCCCGTCCTGCTCCTCCGGCAGCCCGAGGGAGACGGACCCGGACGAGTTCCTGCTCAGAGGTTTCTCCGGTTCCTTCCTCTGTTTCTTGGGCGAGGAGGGGGCCTCGATGGTCCCTTCTGGCTCCTTTTTGTGTGCGGCTCCACAGCTGCATCGGGACCTTCCGGAGGCCGTGGACCGGACCGACAGGGCGCTGGACCCCCGGGGCTCCCCGCCCCCGGGCAGCAGCTGCTGGGCTTTGGGGGAGCGGCTCCTGGGGGAGGGCGTTCTCTTTGGCGAGAGGGTCTGAGGCTTCTCAGGGGCCTCGCTTCCCTCCTCGTCGGCTCCTTCTGGCGTTTTGATCGTGACCAGGTTTGGGTTTGAGAGATTCCTGGTAGGATTGGACTCAACTGGAGCCTCTTTCTCCTCCTCCTCCTTCCCTCCATCGTCCTGGTTTGGAGGTGGAGGTGCCCGGTTGGACTTCGTGGACCTGGTGGATCTGGTGGACTTCCCAGAGGCGGCGCTCGGGGCCCTGTCGGCCTCGGCGTCGGCATGGCAACGCTTTACAGAGGACGCTACACTGGCTGCCCTCTCCTCGTCGTCCCTCACATTTCCAGACTTTGAAGACTTGGACGACATTTGGCTCTTTGCTCTCTCTCCTGCGGCCTCCTCAGGCCGGTTGGACTTGGTGGACTTGGTGGATTTCCCAGAGGCGGCGCTCGGGGACCTGTCGGCCTCGGCGTCGGCATGGCAACTCGTCACAGAGGCTGCCCTCTCCTCGTCGTCCCTCACGTTTCCAGCCTTCGAAGACTTGGAGGACATTTGGCTCTTTGCTCTCTCTCCTCCGGCCTCTGACCTCGGAGAAGGCGACCTCTCAGAGGCCTTCGCAGACTTTTGGGACAGATTGGATTTTGCCGACATGGCGCTTTCCGCCCGCCGCTCCTCCTCATTGGCCCCGCCCTCCTCGGTGGGACCCTCTGGAGAAGCTGCTTTCACACAGTGGCTGCAGGCCGACCTGTGAGAGGCTCCAGACTTGGCCGAAGCGTTTGACCTGGTTGTTTTGTTCGAGGCGACGCTTTCGGCCTTCCCAGACTTGGCCGAGTTGTTGGACTTCACAGAGAGGCTGGACGCTGCCCGTTTGTCCTCCTCGGCTTCAGCTTTGCTGCAGCTGGACTTGTGAGACCTGGCAGAAGCTCCAGATTTGTGCGACAGAGAGCTGAGGGCTCTTTCTGGGGCGATCTCTCCCTCCGCCTCCTCCCTGTTAGCGGACGGGTCCGGCGTGGCTCCGCCCCCCTCCTCGCCCTTTTCCTCGCCATTTTCCTCGCCCTTTTCCCTCACCGACCGGTTGGACCTGTGGCTGCAGGCCGATGCCACACTGGGCGCTCTGGGCTCCGGGTTGCTGGTGGAATGGCGCCCAAACTGGCTGTGGTTGGTCTTGTTGGACAGAGTGGACGCGGCCGAAGCCTCGGAGGCCGCCGCCTCGTCGTCGTCGTCAGGGCAACCGGCGGGATGGCGGGGGGAGTGCCCGGACCTCCGTGAGGCTCTGCTGTTGGACCTGGAGCTGGCCGCCCCTTTGCACCCCCCACAGTTCGGGCACAGGCTGGACGCCGGGGTCCTCCGGCTGCTGGCTGAGAGCCGGCTGGGTCCCGACAGCCCACTAGCGGCCCTCTTACCCTCCTCTTCCTCCTCCTCCTCTTCCTCTTCCTCCTCCTCTGGGGGTCCGGACCTGGAGCTGGCTGCCCGACATTGGCAGGGGGGTTCCTCCATTTGGGGGGTCGGCGTCGGGCCGTTTCTATGGGAGCACTGTGAGGCGCTGGGGGGCAGGTCTTCCTCCTCCTCCTCCTCCTCTTCCTCCTGGTCGTCCTGGTCCTCCCTCAGGGCCTGGAGGACGTGCGAGGAGCAGCTGACGGCGGAATGGGGCCGGGCCTCCTCCTCCCCCGCGGTCAGCTCGCCCTCCACAGACTTGCGGCTGAGCGGCCGCAGGCCGGCGTCCACGGCCAGCAGCTCAGTGCTGCGGCTGCAGCAGCGGCTCACCTGGCACACCTGCACACAGGGGAGGGGTTAGTAGTGGTTAGCATAGGTTAGCATAGCTGCCTTCCAAGCTGTTGACCTGGGTTCGATTCCCGGCCAATGCAGCTCCTCTCTACCCTGTAAGTCGCTTTGGATAAAAGCGTCTGCCAAATGCATGAGTATTAGGGATACTCGGTTTCGATCTCGGTCTCGGTTCGGTTCGCGTGTGTTTTGCGTTCGGTTCATGCTGCTCCTTTTTCTCAGAGGGAAGCGTTTACACTCCAGAGCAGAAGGTGGTGCTACTGCGCCCAAAGCCAACCACCAGTAGGAAACAAGAAGAAGAAGAGAAGCAGCGTAGCCGATAAAAATCCGACGCGCCAGCAGCAGTTTCTAGGTCTGCTGTATGGACCACTTTGCATTTAGAGGGAAGCACATGTTGGAATTAGCACTGTTTCCTCTCTTTCAATGCAATAATCTCAACTACTTTTAACCTAAGACTGTCACAATGATGTATCAAATGTCAGACTGCTTTTTTCTTTCAGTTTTAACCTGACTATACAAGACATAATAGATTTTCCTAACAATCAACATATACCGAACCGAAACCGTGGATTTTGTGAACCGTCCCACCCCTAATGAATATGAATTATGAATATGAATACCTCCACCTGCGTGTCCCCGT